CCCCAAAACCCCAAAACCCCAAAACCCCTGCACATGATAATTTTTTAAAAAATTAGTCTTCATTTTAAAAATAGCCTTAATTAATCATAATTATTCTGCAACTAAGTTATATAAAAATTTAAAGAAGATTACTTTTCATCACAAAGTTATACTGGGAGATATTATAGAGGAAATACACCCATTTACAATTTCTTGGACCTTCACCTAATAACTTGCTTGATAAAAACTTTACTCACTTAGACAGTTAATGTTGTAAGAAGTCTTCACATGTCTTGGAACTACAATTCATCTTTGAATCTAATGAGCTTTCGCATAGACCCTGACGTCTTTGAGGCAAATTGGCATTCAGCATAATATCATAACGAGTATTTTGGAAGTACTTATGTTAGAAGTGATGATTAGATCACAATCCTTATGAGGTCAGATTATTGAAGTTCTCTAGTAACAGTTGTCCGCTGTATTTCGATAAAATTCTCTTTATTCAAGTGCGACAATGCTAAAAAGCTGGTATATCTTTCACAAAATGATGGTATTAAGAGTGAGTGATATGAATGAAACCTAGTTTTTGAAGATTAAGTAAGTTCTACTATTGAAACTAGTAAAATACTCTAAACACCAATAAATCTAAGAAGCAAGAGATCCCTCATAATCTTATGATTAAGTATTATGCGTTAGCTATGAATCCACACATTTCTTTTATTCCATTTCATCGACATAATTCCTAGATTTAATTCCTATAAACTTGGCAGATTGACAGACATTGAGGGTATTTTTGCTAATATATAAGGTAATGCCTGTCCGAAAGTACAATGAATGTTATGATTAACAGCAATAACATTTTACAAGAAATATTTAATAGTTGACAAGTTAAAACTACTTGCCATACAAATTAAATCTTTGCAAGTTCTAATTATAGATAAAATTTCCTCTTCTCTTTAATGTTAAACTATTCTCATCTATGGGGTTTTGGGGTTTTGGGGAGATCGGAAGAGCACACGTCTGAA